GTGGGGGCTCTTTGGGCACTGGGGGCTCTTTCATTTGGGTCCTGTGACTCTGACATCCTATAATGGACTGAATGTTTGTGTCCCCCCTACATTCCTATGTTGAAGGAATCACTAATCCCAAGTATGATGGTATTTAGAAATGGGGCCTTTGGGAGGGAATTAGGGTTAGATGAGTTCCTGAAGGCCCTCTTTTGATGGGATTAGTGCCCTTATAAGACGAGACACCAGACAGCTTGCTCTCTCTCTCTCCCAGCATGCGCACTAACAGGTCACATGAGCACACAGGGAGATGGCGGCTGCCTACAAACCAAGAGAAGAGGCCTCAGAATAAAATCTACCTTGCTCGCTTCTTGATCTTGGACTTGTCAGCCTTCTATTGGAATTTGTCTGGTGTTTGTCTCATTTGATTGGGGTTTTGAGTTCTTGGGAGGAAGATCAAAGAGGATGAATGCCATTTTCTGTTGTTTAAGCCACCTAGTCTATGATACTTTGTTATAGCAGCCTGACCTAAGGCACATACCACCATTGTTTTGCTTTTTGAGTACTTCCTTACTTTCTGGTACTGCAAGATGCTCCAGGCTTATCTTGTATATTTCCTGCCTCAATCCTAGAATCAGCCATTTCTCCAAGGAGCTCAGTTCCTTTTATTAAAGAATGGTATTAGAAACTAAGAACGGGGTCCTGGGTAACAAATTCTCTTTGGATGGACAAACTATTTTGTGCCTCCTACGTGCTAGGCACTATGCGATCTTCTTTTCCTGTCAACTTACTTAATCCTCGTAACAACTCTATGAGGTATTTACTGTCAACCCTCTCTACAGATGAGGAACAGGTTAAACCTAGGTTGGCTAGGTTAAATGCTAGCCAACATCACCCTGTTCTGTCTCCAAAGCCCATCATACTGCCATGATGGAGACTGGTGTCACATATATCACAAATATACAAACCAAAAAAACCCCACCTCATTTATCTTTGGTTTGGTACTTCATAGGCACTGGAATAATTTGCATTACAATAACTATGTAACAGGTAATTAGTGCTTATTCTGTGGAGTGAAGATATGTGATAATAAGACCCTCTTGGGCCCACAAAAGATCCAGATTACCTCTCTTGATGTGCACAGATGTCACCCCCTCTCTTATGTGCACAGATGACAAATACCTATCATTATATGCCCAGGAGACAGGCACCTAGCCTCATGTGCACAGATGCATGTAGCTCTCCTCATGTGTGTGGATGATCTGCACTATCTTCATATAATCACATGGTACACATCTATCCTTGTGCACACAGATGACAAGTACGATTCTTAAGTGCACAGATGACATGTCTTAACTCACAGGCTAACAAAATCTGACACATGGAAAAATGCTTTATGATAGACATTCACAGTATTTGCTAACTGTTCAAGTTTAAGCTATGTCAGATTTTTCTCTTCATGCATAGGACCTGCTTTTGAAATTTGGAAATGTCCTAAGACAACTATTTAGCATCTTAGCTGTTATGATTCCAAATAGTGCTTCTAAAGGTAAAATTGGAGGTTTAAATTTTCCCCTCAAAGATAGGGATCATATCACGTGGGAAAGAACAAATCAGTCAGCCAGGGTGACTAAGGATCCATTAGAGTGACCAGTGTGATCTGACATTTGAAATGGATATTAATGGATTCGTCTGCTCAGCACTCTCTTTTCCTCTGGGAAGTGCCTCTGCCATCCCCTCCGTAGCTGCCATGTTAGTACATCGTGATTCGTTCCCGGTTATTTGATCATTCCGGGTATGAGCACACTGCTCAGCTGGGCCAATCCCAGAGTCCTTGCCTAAGGATTTTTGTAACAAGAACTTAAGAAGGGATTTAGTTGGCCTTTCTCTAGTGACCAAAGCTGTGAACATTGAGGATGTCATTGGCCATGTGAAGAAAGAAGCAAGCAGAAAGAATAATGAAACCAATAGGCATGTGCACACACACATACACACACAGAGACAGAGAGACAGAGACAGACATGAAGACATTTGAGCATTTCAGGTCTTGGTTCTGATGTGGCCTGGTACTTCATGAAGAGTGTCCTATGACCTTTGACCATGTCCTTCTTTACGCTAAGGCTAGTCAGGGATGGTTTTCAGTTACTTCCAATCAAAAGAACCCTAAGCAATGCAGAATGATTGACAATCACTGTCACATTATTGCTAATATAACAGAATCAATATCTACTGAGATTCAAACCTGTGACAGACATCATCTCAATTCTCAAAATATTATAGACATGGTCCAGATCTCCTGTCAAAGGTGGTTAATTTGGTATACTAATTTTTCAGAAACTTTCCAAATACACATTTATGCTAGATACCTAAGTATTATCATTAAGTACTTAAGACACATTTAAGACAAATACTTGTTTGCATAGTAACTGTCTATTGATCTGGCTTTCAAACAAGAGATTTCAAATTATTAAATTTTTCCTCCATTCTACTTTATAGAAACAAATGAAATGATAAGATGTGGCAACTAAAAGAACTATTCTAAAAAACATCTTTTAGGATACACCAAAGGGTCAGCATCAACACCCTCAATATTGTGTATATTTCAGTGCCTGAATCATCAAAGCAATGTTAAGCACCCTGTTTTGAAGTTCATTTTAGTCTACTACAATTCTATGGATATAATTTGTTTATAATTCACATATGAGCATCATGGTATTAATAGCTAACACTTTGCTCCTACCATGGACCAGGCAGGCATTGTTCTAGGAGCCTAACATATTAACTCCTTTAATCCTCACAGCAATCCTATTAGGTAGATACTGTTGTTATCCCCATTCACAGTTGACTCAGAGGTCAAGTAATTTGTTTGAGGTCACACAACCAGTAAGAGGTGAAGCTGTGGACAGAATAGCCTGACACTAGAGTCCATACCTCTTAGGTAACTAAGGTAGTTAATCATAGTAGCTGTCAGGTCACTAGCATGTTCAATTAATAGGACATCCTACTTCTCAAGTCATTTGGAGGGGATTTTAATGTACTACTTGTTTACAAATTCTTTGGATTTGTAGAATATGTATTGGGTATCAGTGAGGCAGAGATCTCTGCAGGAAATTTTTCTTTTATTATGATGGCTTGGGTCCCTGTGACTTACAAGAAAGCAATATGGTGGATCTCCTCAACCTGGAGATAGCCTCCACCAGACTCTCCTCATTTCTTTATGGGGAGAGCAAGTTAAGAGATGGCTTCCCATCTCTCTTATGGTAAAAATCAGAATGCTTCTAGGCCCTGCCTATCTCACAGTCTAACGGGGACACCGTGGTTCAGTCACTCTGGCCTTACATTTCTCCCATCACAAGACCTTTAGATAAGACATTCCCTCTGACTGGCACATCCACTTCGTCTGTGCCACGGAGCCAAACTCCACTCATCTTTTAGGCCTTCCCTGACCCATAGACCAGGTTTTGATCCCGTCTTATAATCTCTCACAGCACTGTGTACTTCTTTCTTGTAGTATCTATGAAAATGGTTATAGAAAATTGTGTAATTACTGAATGTCTGCTTCCCTTGGCTCTAAGTGTAAGCTCCATGTGGGCAGGGACTGTGTTTGTTGTGTTCATTGCTGAATCCCCGGCACTTGGCCCACAGCTAGCACATAGTTGGCACCAAATAAATATTTGTAAACTGAGAAGAAAGAATTACCAGCTACCAGCTGAAGAGGAAATAAACGCTCTAGTCTCCTTGGCATTGGCTAGACTTGCTGAGTGTGGAAGGCGGCCTGTCCAGATAGACACAGAAAATGCTAGAGCAGCTTGGCAGAGTGGCTAGCAAACTAGAGGATAAATGAATATACCAATATGATTTTTTCCCATACAATTTTTAAGAGATTAGAAAATAGTGAGGGTAAAATTATAATTTTGTGAGCAACAAAATATAATCCAACTTTAATAGTGTAAAATCTTGATCAAAGAAATTTCAGCTAAGAACACTGAGGGCCAAAGTGAAAGAAACATGCTGCTTTTGATGATATTGTGTCACTCCAGCAAGTGTGCTTCTATGGTCATCGTGGTTCACTTTTAGTTGCAGCCCTTTTTATTTTTACTTTATTTTTTGCAAATGTTTTATCATCTCTTTATGATTCCTCGAAACAGTCCTATGCACAGAGCTGGTGCCATGGCCTGGGCGATGAAGAAACGTTTCCTCTTTCAAAGACTCTATTTTTTGGACAACAGGAGTTGCTCAAGAGGAAGCAATCAAACCTATCGCCGGCTCTGTCCTCTACCCAGCACACTGCTTCCTGGTTTTAAAGCGCTTTCAGATCCGCCTGTGAATTATCTTGGATAAATAAAGCGGGATTGCCATTCATTTTTGGAGATCACATCTCAATCTGGAAGACAGCACAGGGGAATCGATCATGGAAATTCCATTCGTTTCCCCGTTTCAGCGAACCACAGTCCGCAGTGTCCGCCAACGTGACATCAATACTACGTTGGGAAGATTTTGCTTCGTTCGTTTTTTAACAAGTTTGCAGTTGCCTTCACGGCTGTGAGGTCCAGGCCTTCTCTGCAGGCTCCCTCCGAGGGCGCGGGCCCGTTGGGTGCCCCACGTCCCGGGAAACTGTCCCCGTGAGGACGCCGAGGGGGCTCCCCGAGGCCGTGGGGAAACCAAAACAGGAACCGCTGATTCAAAACACCACCTCAGGAAACGGTGCTTTCCAAAGACAGGTGTTGCCTCCAACGTTGACAGACCCTTTCTCGCCGCGGGTCTCCACAGCTCCGGGCCGCAGCCCCGCTCCAACGGCGCAGGAACCCCGGGCGGCGCCCAGGCAGACCTTCACCTCCCGCCACATCCGCCCACCCCGCTGCGCCGTGGTCGACGCCTCCGCCACGTGCCCGCCTCCCGCAGCCAGACCGCCCGCGATTGGCTGGCGGCGCTGCCTGTCGCGAGGGGCGGGCGCGTCGCCTGCAGGCCGGCGCTCCCATTGGTCTTTGACGCGGCGGCGGCAGCGCGCGCGGCCCCGGCGAGGAGGGGAAGCCGGTGGCGGCGGCGGCGGAACGGGCGGAGGCTGCCGGTTTCGTAACCGTCGCTTGTCCTCGGTGACTCGCAGGGTACTACGCCTGGCTCGGGTTGGGCCGCGGCGCGCGGGGCCGCTCGGAGTGGAGGCCGCCTGGGGGCGGGCGGGCTGGAGGCGCAGGTAAGGAGGTCGAGGGCGGGCGGGCGGCCGGGCGGGAGAGCTGACGGGGAGGAGGAGGCCGCGGCGGAGCCGGCCGCTTGCGTGCGCTTGGG